TTTAAAAAAAAAAAATTGAATATATAATTGATGGTGAAGAATAGGTTTTCATTTAATTAATAGTTGGTGGGGGAGAATTATCATAGACTTAACCTTGAGGGCAAACTTTAATAATTAAAATGAATTTTAGAATAGACGGAATCTTGAGGCATGCTCCATGTTTCTTTTTCACTTTTACATTTTTTTTTAAGTGTGACATTATTTCATATATCTTTTAAATACATAAAATAATAAACATACTAAATAACATAAGAAAAAATATTATAATATTATTGAACATATTGCACATTATTGACTAAGGAGTTGCACATTTCTATTGGTGAGAATGCACTTTAGCATAACAAACGCACTCTGATTGCACAATAGTGTTACATGAGTTGCACTTTAACGACTATCAAGTTGCACCTTAATTTTAGACGAATTGCACATAATGATCGAAACTGAATGAACTAAATATCTCGTTACAAAAACTTATAGTTCAGCTCGGTTATCTATTTTCATCTGTAAAATACCAATTATTTCATTTCAATATCAATAATCAAAATAATCGAATCGAGTAACTATAGAGAAAATACATTTTTTTAAGTATTTTATATAAAATTAATATTTTTTTTCAGCTAGAAAAATATAAATATTAATTATAAATAGTAAAAATACTAAATATTTTTCTTATAATTTAAATATTAAATTATATATACTATTTGTAGTATTTCGGTTACCGATTATTTAAAATCGATTTTACTTTGGGTTATAACAAATTATTAAAAATACATGTGCCGCAAGTGCACCATACTGTTAGATGAATTGCACATTAATGACTATTGAATTGCACTTAATTGGTTGAACTAATTTTTTCAGTTTGAAAATTTACATTTCGGTTTGGTTATCTGTTTTTACTTCTAAAATAACGATTATTTCAATTTTTGGGTCGGTATTATTTTTTATTAAATAACTGACAAAAAAAAAATCAACCTACTGAACTACATGAAAAAAATATTATTATTAATATTATGTGTGCACCATATTGTTAGACTAATTGCACA